GAGCCCTGGTCGCACCCGAGCGGGCCCACCAGGCAGGGGCGCACGGCGGGCGCGCCCCGCGCGGCAGGGCGCCTGCCGGAGCCCGGACGCCGACGTCGCCCGCCGGCAGCAGCATCGGGCGCCACGGGGCCGGGGCAGCCTGCGCGCGCGGCTTGGGCGCACGCACGGCGGGGTCGGTCCTCGCCTCGTCCCGCCCCGCCCAGGGAGGGGCCCAAGAGCCCGTGCACGGCGGAGAGCCTCAGGACCCGTTTCCTCCAGGGGCCCCTCCTCGTCACGGCGATCCCCTCGGCCCCTCCCGGGGCCCGTCCTGGCTACCTTGTCGAGCTGCGTCCAGCCGTGGCGATGAGGCGGCCCCAGGAATGGCTCGAAATATCCGCCCTCGATCCCCATCCTCAACCCTCATCCTCAATTGTCTCAATCCTCGATACTCGATCCCCCACCATGGAACGACAAATCCCCGTCCTCGGTCCCCGATCCTACTCGCACCCGCATCCCTCCAGCCCCGCTTGCTTCGCGGCGACGCGCCTGGCACGGCTCGGCCGCAGCGGCCCGCGCCGCGCCCGGCCGCTCCTCGCCGGCGCCGCCTCCAGGGGCGGCCGCGGCCGCGGCCGCGGGCTCGGGCTCGGACGCCAGCGCGGCCGCGGGCTCGGGCTCGGACGCCAGCGCGGCCGCGGGCTCGGCCGTGGGCTCGGGCTCGGGCGGCGCCGGCCCTGCCTGGGCGCAGTCGCGCTGCGCCCTCGCCGCCGCCCCCCCGCTGCGGCGGCGGGGGCCACGACTGCGGCGGCGGCGGCGGCGGTCGCGGCGGCGACGGTCGCGAGGGCCACGACGTCCACGGCGACGGCCACGACAGCGGCGGCGGCGCTGCCCCCCCCCGCCGCCCCCCACCCCCTTCTCTCCGCACACCTACCAATCCCTCAACACCATTCACCTTCCACAGCTTTGCTTCCTCATTCCGCCCGCCGCCCCTTTACGGTCGCTATACTCCCCCCACGGCCCTCCTTCTCCTGTCTCTCCTCACCTCTACTTCCCTGCTCTCGAAATAGGGGGGGAGGAGGAGGAAGACGAGAAAAGGGGAGAGGGAGCGACGAACGGGAGGAAGGACGGAAGGAAGGGGGGGTAGGGGGACGAGAAGAATGGAGGGGTGGGTAGGGGAGGGAGAGGGCAGCAGGGAGATGGGGAGGTGGAAGTGGAGGAGAGGAGAAAGAGAAGCGCAAGCGCACGCCTTCGCGGGCACTTCCACGACTCGAACGACTCGCATGCGCGCTGGCCGCCGCAACATTGGCGAGGCTGCGTGGCCAGATCCACGCACACCCCCGCGCGGCGTGCGCGGGGTCAGCACGGCGCACATTCGCACGGCGGTTTCTTCAATCCGCGGGGCCCCAGAAGTCTGGACCCCGTCTGGCCCCGAGGCCCGAAAACGGCCTCCCGGAACCCAGAGAGGGGGAAAACGGAGGGACTGGGAAACGAGCAGTCCGCCCGAGGTCTGCTACCAGAAAGGATCACTGAATGGCCATGGCCATGGCGGGCCTCAGCCACGAGGAGGGAATGAGCTCGCCGGCTGGGACGATGAGGAACGGCACGCAAGCCGGAGCCCCTCCTGAGCCCAAAGTTGTCCTTGTTTCGGCGCCTCGACTGCAGCAGGAGACTGGCAAGAGGAGGAGGAGGGGGAGGAGGGGGAGGGAGAGAGGGAGGGGGAGGGGGAGGGGCAGGGGAGGGGAGGGGGAGGGGGAGGGGGAGGAGAGGAGGAGGGAGGAGAGGAGGAGGAGGGTAGGAGGAGGAGGAGGAGGAGGAGGGAGGAGGAGGAGGAGGAGGGGAGGAGGAGGGAGGAGGAGGAGGAGGAGGAAGGAGGAAGAGGAGGAGGAGGAGGAGGAAGAGGAGGAGGAGGAGGAGGAGGCGCACGGCGCGGCTAGCCTGGGCGAGGGCTGGGTTCGCATGAGCGGCGCAGGGCGTCGATTGACTGATCTCCATCCCTGCCAGGCTAGTTACGGTGTCTCAGCCCCCCCATCCAACCACCCCAGTTGGGGATAGCCCGCTCAAATCTCGAAAGGAGAAGCCTCTATCCCATATCCCCATCTAGGGGGGGGGGATTCATCGGCCAGTGGGGCCGTGGCCGCGCCAGTGGGGATAGGGGTCGGTCGAACGATGCTCGGACGCAGAATAACGGGTTCGACTGCGCGGAGACTCGCGCGTAAACCGATGGCGCAAGATGACTCAGAAGAAAAAAAAAAAACACAGACACAATGAATCGTCAATTCTCCAGAAAATATGGGAAGATCTGGGAAGTGGGGGGGGAGACAAAAACCCAGAAACTATAGGAAGCATGGGGAATCCTGTTTTTTGTGTTGATTTATTTGCGTGTCGCAGGGCCCCTTCAATGACGCGTCATCGCCATCGTTTCCAACGTAGCGCGCCACGCTGGCGGCCCGCGTACGCTGCGGCGCGAGGTCGCTCCTTGCATCGCGCGGAGGCCCCCCCCTGCCCACTCGTCGCTCACGCGCGGTGCCTTCCAGGAAGGGCTTCGCCTTCGCCTTCGGGGGGTCAGGGGCGTCGGCGTCGGGCAGGCGGCGGGAGGCTGGCGCAAGCAGGCGGACACAGCGGCGGTGGCTCCGCCAGCGGAAGACAAAGTGTGCCCCCAAGGGATGCCACTTCATGGTGGGCCCGTTTTCCACCACCACCGCCATAGGCAGGGCGGGGGGAGACGGGAGGATGGGGGGCTCCTCCTCCTCCTCCTCCTCCTCCTCCTCCTCCTCCTCCTCCTCCTCCTCCTCCTCCTCCTCCTCCTCCTCCTCCTCGCGACGAGAGGCCCGAGCGCCGCAAGCCGAGAAGGGGCCGACCGCGGCTGCCGCCTCCGGGCCGGCGCCCTCCTCGCCGCGGGAGGTGGCGCCCGCCGGGGCGTCTGCGGCAGCGGCGCCTGCCGCGGGCGAGCCGCCGCCTTGCCGCAGCGGCGGCGGAGCGGCGACGGCCGAGTGGCCGCCGACTGCGGCGGCGGCCGCCAGGCGAGCCGCCAGGCGAGCCGCGGGCGGCCGGCGGCGGCGGCGGCCCGCAGCGGCGGCGGAGCGGAGCAGCGACGGCCGAGGTGCGGCGGCAGCGGCGGCCGGCCAGCGGTGGCGGCGGCCGAAGCAGCACGGCGAGGGCCGAGGCCCCGTTTACCCCGTCACTCTCCTCTTGCGCACTCTCCTTGCGCTCTCCCGCCGTCCCACCCTCTGGCTCCCCAGCGGCTTCCCCACTCCCTTTCCCCCGCGGACTCCCATTTCTCTTCCTATCCCTCTACCCCCTCTTTTCCCTCCACCCTCGCCCTCGCCCCCACTTTCCGACTCCAGCTTTCCTCCATCTGCACATGTTCTGCGTACGACCCGTTGGCTTGTGCCTATCTTTCCACCTCCCATGGCTCCCCTTGCCTCCAGTCGAATCATGCAAGGCCTTACACGGAGACTGGCCCCTTTCAGGGTGCCTCCAGCTCCACTGAGGAGAGCAGGAAGAGAGCGCGCGGGGCGTCCCAAGGAAGGATGCAAGGGTGTCGACAAAATCCGCTCATCCTTCCACTGGAGGCTCCTAACGTGACATCGTGCGCTCTGGGCCGTGACCCCGCGCGAACCGTTCAAACTGGAACGCCCGCCCGCGCCGCCGCCGCACCGAGGCGGCAAGAACCCTGGGCGATCGAGGTTGACCTGTGGTGGGCGGCTGGAGTGGGCCGCGGGGGTGCCAGATCCAAGCGCGCCAGCCAGCGCTGGGGGGACTCCTGTGCTGGGGCCCTCCCAGCCGATGTAGGAGCAGATGGGGTCGTAGGATCGCGCCGTCGGCGACGTCAGCGATGCAGAATGCATCGACGACGTCGGCGTGGAGGAAATCGAACTCTACATCGACCCGCATCGCCCATGCATCCGCGGTGCGGCGCGATCCTCCGACCCCGTCTGACCCGGCCCCGCCTGGACGGCCTGGGCGTACCGTAGACAGCACCGCCATCTCCGCGATCGGCACCGCTTCCTTTCGGTATTTTCTCGGCGCTCGAACTTCTTTCTGGTGGTCAAAGCTAAAGTAGGCTGGAACATCTTAAATGTGGAAATTCTTTGGCAGCATGCCCTTCCCAGCCTCCAGAGGCACCTCTCCTGCGCCTCCCCCGCCCGACCGGCTCCGCCTGCGGCGGCGCCGGCCGTGGAGCCGCCGCCGCCCGCGCCGCCCCGCCCCGCCCACGAGTGGGCGGCGGGGCTCTCCTGCGCGGCCTCGGCGAGGGGGGGGGGGGCCTGCGGGCGCAGGCGGGAGCGGCCTCAGGGGCCCCATCCCCGTCCGCGCCCCTTACCCGTCCCCCTCTGGCCGTCACTGCCCCGTGCCCCCCCCCTCGCCTGCTCTGACCTGCCCCACGGCGCTGGTGGCGTGCGCTGACGGGGCTCCGCAAAGGGCCCCAGGGGCGTACATGGAGGAAGTACGCCAGGACTGTAAGGCCCTCTGGTCGGAGATCCGGATCTGGAGCGATTCGACCTCATTTGAGCGTTTTTTTGACCGGCGTTTCGACATTGGGCGGAAAAGAAGGGGGGGGTCTGGGTCCGGACCTCTGCTTAGCGCGACTGTTTGGAACCGTGCGTCCTGTGGTGGACACTCCACCACCCAAGATCTACTCCAGGGGGGAGAGGGGGGGTGCGAGGGCCCGCCCGCGCCGATCGGCAAAACGATGAAGCAAAAAACGATCACCATCCTGCGGCCGCCTGGCGCACGGCTGCACTCACCATGGCGGAACGTGCGGAGGGCCGGCGTGGCCGGTCATACGAGGGCCGAGCGTGCGGGCACGAATGTGTGCAGCTCTCGCGTCGGCAGGCTACGGCATGTGCATCCAGCGTGCCTGCAGCAAATATACACTAGAACCACGCGCGCGCTTCGCGCGCTTAGGTTCTAGCAAGCCCCAGGCCGTGACAAGTTCACAGATCCTTTGAAATAGTTACCCACAAATGGCATGAACATGAGGTATACCGAAGCGTCAAAAACAACTCAAACCAATGCAAAGCAGTGAAGAGAACGATCAGAATGGAGTGCCCCCACTGGTACTGCAATACAACGCAGTGCCATGAGGGATGGCGGCATCGCAGCTTTGGACAAACAAGCCCAGAATCATATCCTTGGACTGGCATGCGAGAGAGGGCCGTCACGACGCGATACGTCGAGCCTGGGGTGTCAAACGAAACCTAGCCGTCCTCATCGCTGGCTTCCACTACAAGGAGGCAGAGTGCCCTCCGCACTCAACCGAGAATCTCCAGGGCCTTCCTGAGCCCCTCAATTTCAGCAGTCCTGCGTTCGGCCCTCGCCGCGTAGGTCTCGGGCTTGGCGATGCACATGTCCTCGAGCTTCTCGAGATACTCGAGCACAGCATCCAGCTCGGACTGTGTGGTGGCCCGCTCCGCCGAGGCCTCAGATATCGCTTTGTCTAGCTCCGCGGCCTCCTTGGTCTGGTACTTGACCGACTGCTCCTTCGCGACCTTTACTTCCTTGTTGTCCTGAGTCGTAGCCTCGTAATCGGACTGCGCGCTGTCCTCGGCGGCAGTGATGTCGGCCAGGCTCTTGGTGAAATCAGAGAGGCATACCTCAAGCATGCCGATCCGCCATCGTACCTGCGGTACGGTGGGACACGTTGGAATGCTCCCCTGCAATCTGATGCTCCTGTGATGTTTCGAGGGCCGCCCCCCCGCTCCCTACCAGCACGCGTCGTCAAGAATCGTCGCGAATGTTGGCCCCTAAGCGGTCCAAAGACAGCCAAAGACTTCCCCAGAGACGCCAAGATCACCCAAAGATGGCCCAAAGGCCCCCAAGAGGGCCCCAAGACGGCCTACGAGGGTCCCGAGACGCCCAAAGAGAGGCCCCGAGAGGCGCAGATCATGAATCTGCACTCGGCCTTTGAATGACTTTAGCATCCTCGTCGTTTCGGGCTCCGAAAGCCAGCGAGGACGCAAGAGGCCCCCAAGATCGCCCCAAGACGGAAAAAAGGCCCCCAAGAGGAACGCAAGACGACACAAGAGGGATTCAAGACCGTCCAAGAAGCCCCCAGGACGTCCAAAGACGCCTCCAGGAGGGCCCCGAGATGGACCCAAGAGGGGAAGCTCGAACTGGCTTTAGGAACCTTTTCCGTCCAAGAGCGCTCCAAGAGCCCCAGCATGCCCCCATGAGGCCTCCAGAAGACCCCAGAGGCTCACAAATGCCCCCGAGGGGCCTGGAACCCCCCAACTGACCCACCCAAAGCCCCCACGACGGCCCCAAGAGTTCCCAAAGACGTCCCAGAGAATCTTCCCATGAGCCCCCAAGATGCCTTCGAGAGGGAGGGAGGAGGAGAGAGAAGGAGGAGGAGGAGGAGGAGGAGGAGGAGGAGGAGGACGAGGAGGAGGGGGAGGAGGAGGACCAGTGCAAGCCCGAGACTCTCCAACGATGTTGCCCTCCCTGCAAGTTCCCTCTTCATAGGCCCTACAAAGATAATTGGAGGAAATGCCCCGTTGGAAAAAAACGTTTGAAAATCCTGAACTATGCCAATACACCATCTCTGGGACTTCAACGTCACGGATCACGGGTACGGTTGCGTCTTCACGATCCTGAATCGCGCCGGAACGCCATCCCTGGAGCTTCAATACCACGAATCAACGCAACTGATGCGCCCTGACTCCCCTGACAATCCGACATCGTGCCAGAACCTAATTTCTGGGCAGCTAACCATGAGCACCCCTGGAACTGCTGCAAACTCTTACGACGAATGTGCCTGGCGCTAATGCGAGAACCACATTTTGAAAAGGAACCGCTCTCCATCCGTGAAGCTCCTGCGTTTGTTGCAGACGGATGCGCGCGGCGCTAAGGCGAGAACCGCATGTTGAAAACGACCTGCCCTCCATCCATGAAGCTCGTCGGTTTCTGTGAAAAGACGGATGTGCGCGGCGCAAAAGCGCGAGCTACATTTTGAAAACAATCCGCCCTCCATACGTGAAACTCTTGCATTTTTTGGAACGGAAATATGCGGCGCTAAAGCAACGCGACAGTTTGAAAACCACCCAATCTCCATCCGTAAAACTGTTGCAAACTCTGAGCTCCAGGCCCATGCATGATGAGGACGTCTCAGGCGAAACGCCCGGCCCGCCCTTTTGACCGGCTTCGGGGTGCGAGAAGGATGAGGAACATATAAGGGGTAGGGATGAAGCAGCGAGAAGGAAGGAATAAGAGACCGAGATGCGGACGAGGAGGGGGTGTTCAAGATCCGCTGCAGGTGGGCTCCGTCTGAACTGGAGCGGGTCCGAAGTACGCGCCCCCTTCTGCTGCGTTGCCGCACTGCTGCGCTGGGTGGCAAGAACAGGGCGCTCAAAACCCGCACGGGTTCAGACAAGGCACTGAACTGCAGCGGGTCTGAAACTCAATCTCCCCCCTCATTATCTTCCTATTCCTGCCGATGTTCATCGATATCTTCGGTCCGCCTCCCTCCCCTGCCTCGTCTCGTTTTCTCGCCGATGAGGACAGAGGGCTTCTGCAGAGGAAGGGTGAGAAAGAGGTGTAGTTTCAGGCTCCGCCCCAGATCAGACACCGCGTTTGATCAGGGAGCACCGAACTGGAGCGGGTCTTCAAAAAAAACATTCCGCTTCTCCTCTTTCCTATCAACCGTATCCTTTTCCTCCTCCTCCTCCTCCTCCTCCTCCTCCTCCTCCTCCCCCTCCTCCTCCATCCTCCTCTCCCTCCTCCTCCCCATCCTCCTCCTTCTCCTCCTCCTCCTCCTCTCCAGATTTGGCCACCATCCATCGATGTTCCCCTTCCCCTATTCGTCTGCATCGTCACGTCTTATTGCGGATAGGGAGGGAGATCAGCAACCCTGGGAAGAAGAACTCCTACAACAATACAAACACAGCACAACGATCCACCAAACGCTACAAGATCTTCCGGACACCCCCGAATAATCAGGAAGGAAGCTGAAAAATCCGCGCAAGTTCAGACAGAGCTCTGAACTGGAGCCCTGCCCCATCATCATCGACCTCATCATGCTGCCCAGCCTCCTGCCACGATTCAACGGCATCAGGAGGCGGTAAAACAGGCAAAGCACTGAATTAGACATACAATCCGACTCAACCCCTCTTTCTTGCTGTGCTGCTGCGCTGGCACGGTGGCGGGAGTTGCCGCAGGCAGCCGGATAATACCACCAGCCGCACCGTCCTTCGCGTCATGGGCCGTGTCCTCCTTGGCGTAATCCGCCACCGTGCCCTGAGGCACGAGTTGAAGTGTCCCCAGGTAAAGGCTGCAAAGAGGTAGGCGTGCTGGTGGCCTTGCCTTTGCCGACGCGCCAACGGCGCGAAGCCCCTAATTAATCAAATAATTTAGCCGGAAGAAGCAGGCCAGGCGGCAGGCGGCCGAATCCCTTCAGGTCAGGGTCCTTTGCCGAATCCCTTGAGCCTCAATCCTCAATCCTGAAGATGCTTTACGGGACCCAGACCCCACATTCTTCAATCTCAAGGGGATTGTCGCGTGCCTCCCGGGGCTCCTGGCATCTTCCCGCGTGACTTGTTCGAGCCGAAGAGGGCCCCAAGACAGGCCGAGGGCCCCAAGAGGCTCCTAAGACGGTCCAAGAAGGCCCCGAATCGCCGAACAATCGGTCCGAGACGGCCCAAGATGGCCTCTCAACTGCCGAAACCGCACCCAAGGCCCAAGACGCCTGGAGAGGCCTCCATTGCACGTTCAAGAGGGCCGCAAGAGGAACACGTTAGTTTTTAGCAGATGCGGTTTTTCGGCCTCACGGCGCTCAAGACTGCCCAAGAGGGCCTCAAGAGGGCCTCAAGACGACCCAAGAGGCCCCACAACGGCCCCCAAGAGGCGCCCGAGAGGGCTCCCACCACATCCCGACGAGCACCTAACGAGCATCCAAGAAGCCTGCGACCCACTACCCAGGCACGGTGGTGGGATGTGCCCAAGGCCGTTCGATACTCCTTGAGGATCTTCAAGGCGGCCTCGACACCTGTGATGCCTTCCTTGAGAGACTTGTCCTGTTCCGCGAACAGATCGCCCTCTTCCTTGCGCATCTTGTCCATCGCAGACTGTGTTGATGCCAGCTCGGCCAGCTCCTTCTCGAGAGTGACAACGCTGTCCTTCAGCTTGGCAGAATTGGCAGCCATCTGGTCGATCTTGGTGGTCAGCACACTGACCGTGTCGCTCTTCTCCGCCTTCTTCGCCTCTGCGTCCTTCATCTCCTATGGGGGGGGGAATGAAATGTATAATCCTTGGACCTCTCTCAAGGTGCGTTCTGACCAGGCTTTCGAGGCGAGTCCAGCCGTGGCGACGAGGGTGGATCGATATATGCTTCCTCCCCTGATCCTTGTCGCAGTACGCCTTCTGCTCGGCATCCTCGGAGCCCTCCTTCTCCAGCTTCGCGATCATCTCCTCTCGGGGGTGGAGGGGGTCAACGTAGCCATAGTCAAGCCAGTAGGGGAAGAAGGAGAGGCACAGGCCCAACTATGTCCAGCACGCATGCGGGTGGTGAAATGCACAGAGCCCCCTTCAGCTCAGCAGAACGCCCTTTCGCAAGAAACGACCCGGGAACAGACCCGGCGGGCGCGGGCCCCGCCAAAGCTGTGGCCGCCACGCCCTCCCGAGAACCGCAGGATGGGGCAACTCGCGAGCCGACGTTGCAGGGCGGGGGCCACATCGAATCGACCTCCTCCTCCTCCCCCTCCTCCTCCTCCCCCTCCTCCCCCTCCTCCTCCTCCCCCTCCTCCCCCTCCCCCTCCTCCTCCTCCTCCTCCTCTTCCTCCTCCTCCTCCGATCCTTGATCAGCCCCGAGACCTTCTCGAACGGGTCCTCGCCGTCCCGCGCCCCCAGGCGCACCGCCGAGGCCAGGTGCGAGACGAGCTGCGCCAGCGCCGGGGACCTCCTGCTGCGCGCCAGCTCGCGCACGAAGCGGACGGCGCCCGCGGGGTCGTGGGCAGCGCTGCGGACGCGGCGCACCTGCAGGAAGGACGGCGCGGAAGTCTGCGACAGAGCGATGGCCGCGGCGCCCTCGGTGGTCTCCTCGATGATCGCCTTGGCCTTTCTGACCGCCGCAAGCTCCTCGGCCCTGCTCTTCGCCGAGGCGTCGTACTCCTCCACGTAGGAGGCGCAGTCTTTCTTGACGTCCTCGAGCATCGCCTTGTCCTCGGCGAGGTCCTTCGACACGTCAGCCAACGAACCCTCCGCCGCGGACTTGGTCTCTCTGGCCTTGGCCATCGACGTCTTCGCCGCCTCCATGTCCTTGGTGCCGAAAGCGATGCTGTCGTTGAGGGACTGGGAGCCTCTGTGTTTTCTGCTTTTCCGCGGTGGCTCCTGTCACTGCGTCCAGCCGCCCACCCCCTGGTCACGTCACGAATCCTGCCTGCGCTAGCGGGCAGCGCAGCCCGGGTGGGCGCCGCCCGTGCGCACGCGCGCCATAAGGATGACCGCTGGGATGGCTCGCAGGGACATCAGATGCCTGTGAGCGCCTTGGCCCCTACGAGCACCACAACTGTTTGGCCGCTGATGTGCCTCAGGGCTGGACCTGAACGCTGTGTTTCGTTTCGTTCTCGTTGTGTAGTTTGTGTTGCCCTGCCTGTTTTCCTGCACCTCCCTCCCAAAACGAAAAACACGACACAGCCGAAGTCCAGCAAAACGGCGTTCAGGTCCAGCCCTGTTGTGCCTGTGGGCATTGCAATTCATGCGGCGATGACGCGTGTGCAGAGCACCGTCACGCCAGCGAACATCAGAACCGCAGCGCTGGTTATCGCCACTGTGACTGTGACAGAGCCTGTGGGCCTCGCGAACGATCGTCAGCGAGACAGCGTTTCAAGCATCGCCACCTGTAAGCACCACCGCGGCTGCGGGCTGGACAGCCCTTCCTCCTTCCTCCCTGCATCCCTCATGTTGTCCCTCTTTATCCCTGGCGAACGTCCTTGTGTCACCTGCTTCTGATCCTCTTCCGTTTCCTCCCCCCCTCCTCCTTATAGATCGAGCCACAACGACTCGAATATGCTTGAAGCAGTATCCGTTACCCAGTTTCGCTGGAAGCCAAGCGTTGTTGCCGATGCGTGCAACGAGTTTGGCATACTGGCACCATGCGCAAGCCACACCCAGAGCGAGTTGCCCATACTGGACTCCACGCACCAGACGCACCCTGCTTGATACCGAAGCCATAGGGGTTCCCATTTTGATGGCGCCTGCGAATATCACCACCCTGTGAACGTCACAGCGCCTTCAAACGCAACAATGCCCACAAGCACTGCAACGAGTGGGACAGTCACACTTATTGCGGGTACCAAGTTTTCTGTGGGAGACAACGTGACGAACAACACCACGATGCCTATGAGCACCGAAGCGCCTACGAGGCACAACATAATAATATGTGAGCACAACAGGGTCTGAGAGCATCACATTGCTGTTACGAACTTCAGTTTTGCAACCGCCACTCCAACACCGCCGCTGTGGGCTGAACAGCCTCTCCCTCCTGCTTCCATTTCTCCCTCCAATCATTCCTCCAGTCTGCATCCACCACGCGCCTCGTGCTACGTATGTGATACTCCTTTTCATCTTCCTTATCCTGGATCAAGCTTTGTAATGAGCGTTCTTTACTGCTTGGAAAGGCTCTACCAACAACAAGACCTCACGCCCTCGCTGCCGCCCTGGTGTCAGTCCCGATGCCCAGCGCAAGTGTTCTGAAGCGGTGCCCCAGCACCGGTCACCAGCCATACACGCCGCACCGTTTCCTGTGCTGGTGCCCCCGCGCCAGACGCACCCGGCACGAGATTTCCATGCTGGGCATCCCGCGCGCAAGAGCCACGCCCAGCGCGGGCCCAGCATGCTGCAGCTGACAGGCCAACCGCACCCACAGCGAACTTCTCGCCAGCACGTGCCGAAGCCGGAGCCGATGCGCTGGGGCACTGCGCTCGCGGGCGAGCCGTGAATGGAATGGAAGGGAATGGAATGGAAGTCCTGTCAAGATGGCCCGCAAGGGGCAGGACTCTACGCGGGGCCCTCAGGAGTCGCAGTGCGACTTCACCGAACACGATGCAACCTCTGACGTGAGACTGCGCCACTCCTCTGCGCCCCCAGCAAGAAACGTGACACTGCTGCAACCCCCCCGTGACGCCCGTCGCCGTCGTCGCGCCACCGCAGGGAAAACGCCGAAGAAAGAGCGACACGGGGCGTCTCTGGCACCGGCGAGCCTCGGCCACGAACGGGTTCCCCAGCCCACCTCTGAGGAGCGGCCCGAAAACCCGCGACCCTCCTGAACCGTGAACCCGATGCGGTCCTCGTTTCAGCGTCTTGTCGACCCGACTGAATCGGCAATGCTTTCCGAAAAGGCTCCTGCTTGAGGAGCTCGAACGCGTGCTGGGCCTTGCCCTCCTTCGCGCGGGCGTCCGACAGCGAGGACTGCGCCTTGTCCAGCAAGTCCTCGAGCACGTCGACGATGCTGCCTCGGCGGAGGCAGAAGGGGTGGATAGCGCATGGGCGGACATCACACGTATTCGCCAGGGGCCTCGTGGAAGGCATGGGCAATCGTAGCCCCTGGGCACGTGCAATGCTCTCCCCCTGGGGCTGCCCCCGTTGCAGTCGCCGGCTGCCGGACTTGCTCTCGTACACGGCCGCGTCAGGAGCGCCGGCGTCGCCGTCGCCAGACTGGTGCGTGCTCTGCACGAAGGCGGTGAGCCTCGAGGCGTCCACCTGGCTGAACATGGCCGCCTCCCAAAGGAGGAAAGAATACCGACACCGCTGCTCGTGCTGGAGAGCCCTCGCCGCCAAAGCTGGATTCTCTTCGAACTTATTGTCGCAGTGCTCCCCAGGAGAGGTCCGGGGAGTCGCGGATTTGAGGGGCAACGTTCGGCAGGACAGGCTGACGGGGGGGAACATCGGGCTGGAATTGGCGATACATCGCCGATGGAGATCGGCAATGGGCCCCCGGAAGCAAATCCGCACGTTCCTGGGCGGGGTGGGTCACCGGGCCGTTTATCTGCCACGAATGGGCGACGGGGGGCCGATGCGTTCCCCCTCTGAGCCTTTCCCCCTTGGCATCGCCCCTGAGGCTTGGTATCCCCCGGCCTTCACCATCACCTCGAGCGCCTGCACCACGGAGCCAGCGCTCTGGACCTGCACCAGGGCGGCGCCGCCCGACTTGGCCAGCTCCCTCTCCAGCACGCCGATGGCGCGCTGCAGCGTGTCGATTGTTGCCACCAGCTCCTTCTCTTCTTCCTCGAAGTCACCTACCTCCTCGGCGCGAATTTTGACAGCAGCCGCGAGATCTTTTTCGTCCTTCGCGATCTGGCCTGCGAGCTCCTCGACCTTCTCCGTGAGGGAGTTGATGGCGGCGGTCTCCTTCGCGATCTTGGCCTCCAGTTCGGCAACATCGTTTGTCCCAGTCTGGATCTCAAAGCCAAGATTAACTGCCGTATCCTTGCACCAGTTGTCCTTCTCCGCCTTGAGCTTGGCGGCCTCCTCGGTCTCCTTGACGATCGTCGCCTCCATCTTCGACATGAGTTCGAGCACCTTGCCGATGGGTGCAGCTACGCTCGCGGCCTGGGCAGCGCCGAGCAGCAACAGAAACCGACCGACCATCTGCATTGTCGCGGAAAGAGTGGGCTCCACCTCTGGAAGAATGTCGCTGAATCGTTGGTGGGCGTGCGTGGTGCTGAAATAGAACGGCGGCGGGAAAAGTAGGGTAGGAGGAGCGCACGAAAGTACGAAGTGCACTCCGAAAAGGAGGAGTGCTCGAAAGTGATGAGAAGCTGGAGAGTGGAAGCTGGGAGATGGAAATTGGGAGCCCCATGAGATTGGAAGTGCCCAGGGCTGGACAAAACTGGCAGGGGCCGAAACGATCTCGAAACGAGTGGAGATGAGGTCGCCAAAACCGACGACCCTGGAGCTCGCGACGTCCAGGTCGGCCGCCGTGTCGAACGCCCACTCGTCGTGCACAAAGCTTGGATGTTGCAGATCATGTGTGTCCCTTGGGCATGTCCAGGGCGTCTCTGGACCCCGTGCCGCCGTCTGGCATCATGGCAGGGCCCCCAAGCTCAATCGCCATTGCGTCGCCCTTGGTGGGCGGGGTGGAACAATGCCGACCGACAGAGGCACGCCTGACCGCGCCATCCCACTACGCCTGAAGTGGCCCCTGGCCTGATCGCGCAAGAACCGCGCGGTCTTCTGCGCCGAGCCCTCCTCGGCGCGACCGCAGAGTTCGAAGTCCAGCGCCAAGGGCTCGCGCTGCCTCAGCCGAGGCGCTGCGCAGGCACGCGGGAGAGCTTCGCCAGGTGGTGCTCCACGGGGCACCGGCATAGCGTCAAGGCCATCGAGGCGCGGGCCGAGGACGCCGCGCAACTCGCGCGTCATCAAGACTGCCAGGTCAACCTGGTCAGCGGCGCCTCGCTCGAGAACGCATTCTCGGATCGCGCGCCGGAAAGCCCGCCGGCCCGAGGGCTGGGCCCCTGTTTGTAGCACTGCTCCAGGCAGGTCGTCAGCTTGCGCCCGAGCTCACCCGAGCTCACCCGCTTGCGCGTCGCAGCAGAGAACAATTCTGCGTTCAACGGTTGCCGCGTCTTCGGGGCGCGCAGCAAAGCGGTCGGATCGACGCAAGCCTCTGCGCCAATCGCGCACCTGATCGCACGCTGCTGCGACCTGTTCGATGCCGCCGCGCACCTGGCGCACGCGCCAGCGAGCCAGAAGCGGAAGCCGACGGGCGCGGGCGGCGAACCTGCGTCAATGGGCTTCACCGCCGTTCGCTCGCGAGTGAACTCCTCGCCCAGCGACCCCTCTAATGACTGCTGCTCGGCGCCTGCCTGGCCGGCGGGCCCGCGATCCTGAAGCGGGCTCGCAATGCCCGCGGCAGCCGCCAGAACAGCTCCAATCGAGTGCTCCGTCCCTCGCCGCACTTGCAGCGATGGCCCGGCAGCGGCGGCGCGACGACGACAATTGCGCGAGGCTGCTCGGCGCCCGCCAATGCCGCGCCGGGTAGCCTCGGAGCACGGACATCGCCAGCGCCTGCAGCGACGGGGTCGCCAGGCGCGGCGGCGGCAGGCGGGGCCAATTTCCGAGCGCAGCCTATTTCAACTCGTCGCGGCAAGCCTCGGACTCGATCCTCCACCTGCGGAAAACAGACTGCGCGCCCTGCGTCTCGGCGACCGCCTCGCCCTTTGCGCCCATGACCTCGCGGGGCCGCTCGTCGCTGGCAGCCGCCAGCACTGCGGCCTACTGGTCAAACTCACGCCGCGCGGCGGCGCGGGTCGCAATGGCCCCTCGGTTCGCTATCGTCCAGCCCGCTGCGAAGCGCTCGCTTTCGGTCGTTGGCCCCCGACTCGGCGAACTCGACGCGCTGCTCCTCCCTGACAGATGCGAGGTGGAGGGGCCTCTCGCTCGACCTCCCCGCCGCGGCGGCGCGCCGCTCCACGCTCCGGGCCGCCATCGCCTGGCGCTCGCTGCCGACGTAGGCATCGATGCCCAGCGCCTCCGCACGGCCTTGTGCCAGCATGATATCAGCAAGGTCCCTGTACTTGTCCTGGTACTGCCGCTGCATCTTCACGCGCATTGTGAAGACGCCCTCGAAGTAATTCTGGACGTGGCTGACTCCGATCCGCAAGGCCTCACGTTGATCCGCCGCGCTTTGCTGCGCGAGGTACGCCTCGTACTGTTGCATCCCAGAGCGGACTCGAGCCACGAACTGCGCCTCTGTGTAGCTCGAGATGGCCTGCTACGTAAGCCTGCTACGCAAGCCTGCTGGGCCGCCAGCGCCACGCTCACCTCGCGCCGGGCGCGGGCACGTTCGCCGGCAACGCTTGCGGCGAGCTTCTGCTCCTGCGTTTGAACCGCAGCGTGCGCCGCAGCAGCAGCGGCCTCCTGTACCTCTTGTTATTCTTCGCAGGCTGTGACCCTGCTTCCCAGTTCTGTCTCAAAGTCCACAATGTCAATCATCCTGGAGGGCATCCCAAAATCTTAACATGTGATCTACCGACGTACCAGACAGCAATGAGTGATGCTGCCGTCAGGCCGGGGATGGATCGATTGTTTCTCCACTCGGAGTTTCGCTGGAGCACCGAATATTTTGAGCCACAATGGGTGCGGTGCTTTGGCGTTGTCCCTGTACTTCCCGTGGTCATGCCGATTGCGCTACATGCTGAGCGCTGAGCCCCAGGGGCTCTGCGCAACGACGAGGCAGCAGGATGCCAGGAACACATCGTCGCTCAATCCCCCATGCGACCTTGACCCAGGGCCGAGCCGCACGAATAGCGTCGAGATTCCGCGGGCTGCGGGGACCTATGGCGTTTTCAATGGAATCTGCGCGGGGCTGCAGGAAACCTGCGGCATTTCCCGTTGGACCTGTGCGTGGCGACGGGAAACCCATGGCAGTTCCCGCGGCATTTGTGCGGGGCTGAGGAGGGCCACCAGGGCACGCTCACAAGTTGGCGCGCGAGTTACTTAATAAGGTATTTCAAACTAGGCCGACGGAACATTGCACATGCAATCGATCACCGCTGGGTGAGGTGTGGACGTCTCTGGTGCCAGACAGAATGTGTTGCAGTATCTGTGGCATCATTTCACACGCGCACACGCTCCCCTCCCCCTCCCCCCCTCCTCCTCTTCCCCCCCCCTCCTGCTCCTCCTCGTCCTCCTGCTGCTCCTCCTCCTCCTCTTCCTCCTCCTGCTCCTCATCTTCTTCCTCGCACGTGGCCGCGCGCCACGTCCGTCAGTCTACAGCCGCTCTAGCGCCCACCTCGCGGTGGGAATTATGAGGCCGACCTTGTCGGCCGAGATCGGGCGCTCGGGCTGCGCATGAAGACGCGTGAACAATATGGCGGCAGCAGCTGGGGCGGCAAGGGAAGAGCGGGAGGGGAGAGCGATGCCAAGGCGACCGAGAGGAGAAGTGGACAAGAAGACTTGGACGTCAAGGTGCAACAGAGAAGCTAAATTGCGTGTGAAATGCGGGCAACACCAATAATGAGCGAGCTCGTCGAGCCCGTCTTGACGGCCAAGCATGCGCGGCGACGTGCCCATCCGCCCATCAACACCTTCAGAACGGCCATCGAGGAATAGACACTGGAACGCGAGAATTCGGACCGCAAGGCATCCCACGGAAGACCGCGGGCCTCAGGAAGGGAGATGGGCATCCATTGGGCCAGCCGAGAGGCAAATGCATCTGATTGACATGGAGGGTGAAGTCCCTCAGAGATCTTGATCTTTAATGGCGCTGAACTTTGAATTTGCTGGGGTCTGATGCCTCAGCAAGCACTTCTGCAAGATATTCGATGGCAAGCTTGGCGGCGCGTGAGACACTCCGATGAGAGCGAGCAATGGACGCGACAAGGTGGGAGCCGATGGGACGAGGGAAAGCAGCGTCAGCAGCGGCAAGGAACTCGCAGAACGAGGGAAGGAGCCAGAAAGATGGCGAGAGCGAGTGATGGATGACTCGCTGGACGACGGGGAGTTGCTCTTCAACAACAGCAGAGAGAGAGAGAGCTGGGAGCATCTCTCGCCAGGATGCAATGTGCAGACGGCGGCGCGGATCAGAGCGGCGATTGAAGTAGCCTGGATACTTGAGACTCGAGGGCCACCCCACTGGGCAAGCTCAAACCACCCCGCACGAGGAATCACACAATTCGGGGTCCGGAAAAGACGAGCAAACATTGCAGGCTCTTGTCTAGCAACTTCCGAAGGGAGAGGCAAAAATTGAGACACATAGCTAAGCACCGAGGCCACTCTGCTTTCATAGTTTTGGGCGGTGACCGAGAACGGAGCACCCTGGGAAGCCAGTCTCGAGCCACGGTCCAGCCATTTGGCGACGGGGGCCCTCCAGGAGTGGAGGGGCGCGGCAGGGCCGAACCAAAGGCCCAGGTATTTCAGCACGGGAGTGGCCTCGAAGCATGCCCAAGAGGGCAAATTCCTGGCAAGCCATCTCGCATATCTACGCGCGAAGATCGGCGAGTAGGCCGCGGCCAGCGGCGCGATCTTGCACTTCGTCGTCTTCAGCTTCAACGCCGAAGTCCGTTCAATAGTCGAGAAAGCGCGGTGCAAGAGTCGTATGTGATCCAGTCGGCGAATAGATGCACCCACATCATCAGCGCAAGCACGGGCAATGCCAGCGGAGTGACGAGAGAGCGAACTCCATATCAGCGAAGAAGCCATCAGTGGCTATGGCGAACAGCGTGCCCGAGGCCGGGCGCCCTTGGATAATCCCGCAGTCCTGAAAGAACATGAAGAGAGTGGAAGTCATAAACGCACCATGGCACATCACATTCGTGTAGATCGTGAAAACCAGAGTTCGAAGAGGGTCGGGTGCTTTCATGGAGCCCAGCACTCGGCGAAGCCATTGGCGGCTGAGACTGGGAAAGGCCTGTCCGAAGTCAAAACTGATAAGGGCGGGAAGGTCAATCAGAGCCGAAGGCGACATCGAATGAATGCGCGAGATGGCGTCTAGTTCGACGATGTTGTTGCCGAAGTTTCTAGATCGAACAAATCCTTTCTGAATTTTGGCAGCAAACGATGACATGATCTTGTTTAGCTGAAAAGAGGATACCGCAACAATGATCTTGTTGTCTGTGTTTTGAGGCCAAGGGGTCGAAGAGCACTCGCGGAGCGAATGCATTGATTCTGGATGTCCTTCTCCTCCTCTCCTTTGGGGATGAATACCATCAGGGCCGAGTTGA